GGCCGCTGGGGCACCGGGTATGTGGGTCGAGGCGGCGACGAGCAGCCGAGAGAAAGTGCTGTGCGCGGCCGCAGCTTCCGGGTCCGCGCCGCAGTCGCGTCTCCCTCCGCGCCCGTCGCGCACACGCGCTTCGCACCGCTCCGCGCCGGGCCGTCCGAACCGGCTGACGTGGCTCAGGGGAACGGGTGTTGCCGCTGCGGCGTTTCCGATCAGAAGATCATAGATACGGTTGCGTAGGTTTCCGCGGCCGGAGTTTATGTTGTCTAGGCTACCCGGGACGAGCCGCGTCACTGTCATGGTGGCATAATAGATAGCCACCTTGACAGTGACGCGGCACGTCCCGGATAGCCTAGACAACAGAAGATCATAGAGATCGAGTGGCGGATAGCTAAAGCGCTAGGTCGAATTCAGCCGCGAACTGACATCGCTCTGCACCGGACCGTCCAAAACGGCTGGCGTGGCTCAGGGGAACGGGAGTTGACGCTGCGGCATTTCCGATCAGAAGATCATAGATATGGTTGCGTAGGCTTCTGCGGCCGGAGTTTATGTTGTCTAGGCTACCCGGGACGAGCCGCGTCACTGTCATGGTGGCATAGTAGTTAGCCACCATGGCAGTGACGCGTCTCGTGACGGATAGCCTAGACAACAGAAGATCATAGAGATCGAGTGGCGGACAGCTAAAGCGAAGGTCGGTCTAGGTTGAAATCAGCCGCGAACTGACATCGCTCTGCACCGGGCAGTCCAAACTGGCTGGCGTGGCTCAGGGGAACTGCTGCTGCGGCGTTTCTGATCGTTAATCATACAGATCGAGTAGCGGACAGCTAAAGCGCTAGGTCGAATTCAGCCGCGAACTAAAGAAAATTCTAGCGGCCAGCTGCTCTGATCGAGAGTATTTTGTAGTTTCCTCGATCAACATCAGGCGAATGCTGGAGCAGTGCCCTAGCAAACGGGCCACGCACCACGTGCTTCCCATTTCGCTTCGTTCTTATTCTTCGTATCCTCCCCTTACATTCACGTGCATAACACTACTATAATGTCGGGAGATCAGTCGCAAGCTTAGAACGTATCTCGGGTGGGGTGTTCCGTTGACGGATGTTACTTAATGGGAAAACCCCAGCAAGTCGACGTCTACAGGAGGCAGGTCGACACCGGATCTTACGTTATAGAGGGAGGGATCTAGTGGGAGGAACACCGCCACTTTTCGAAATATAACATGCATTACACATACGTAACTACACAAGCCGCAGCACTTGAGACGACCAGAAGCCAAATAATCAATCAGTTAATTTACTCTGCCAGATACTACTCCAAAGAGCACCATTCCACACCAATCTGCCTCTCACCTC